TATACCCAATGATGGAATTTGATTAATGTAATGTGTGGAAAAAAAGATTGGATTTGTATGATAGAATCAATTTTACTTTACTTTTCATTACCTAAATGATGCTAATGAAGATTCTCTAGTTAGCCTCGGTGTAATTTGTATACTAGCCTAGCCCTAGGGCACTAGAGAAGTAGTTGTTCAAGACTACATTGGACTTGATAATAATTAGATTAATTAGGGGTCAATTAACTACCGTAAATCAAGTGCATGAGTAGCAAATTAATTGAAGGCGCAAGTGCGCTTGGAATTTGGATATCTTTTCATTGGAATAAAATCTATATAATTATAAGTTATTAGTATAAGTTATTATTAAATTACGTACTAGTCTACTTCTCCGCCTATTTTTTTTAGTTATTTAGTATGTTTCAACTAACATTTTTATTTGTTTTTATTTATAACTCTAAGTTTGGAATTAATATTTTAATATTTGTATATATATATATAGAGTTGTGCTCAAATGAGAAAAGAGATCAATGAGAGAAATAAGAATTAATATGGAACCGTTGGATCTAATATCTCAATGTTCCAGATGTATCCACGCAGTTTTAAATACCTGTCACTTACCGGTGGCATTCTCGTAATTGTGGTCAAGAGTGCAACTGTGAGGGTAGTTTCGTCTTTCGCGAAAAGAAGTGGGCATTTGATGGGTTTCGGGCACATTAATTGAGATAGTAAATAAGTCTTGTCGCTCAGAGCTCCAGAGCTAGCGTATGGAGATGGTGAAAGATTGGTAAGAAATTTTTTTTTTTTAAAAAAAAAATTAATGTTGTTGTAGACGATGAAGAGCATCTCGTAATATCTGTGTGTTTCTCGCAGATCTGTTGTTGATAGGTTGAAGAGAGTTTATAGTAGCCGTTCATCGTACTGGGTTAATCGCACGCATATTAACAATGGGTAACTCTCCCAAATTGAAGAAATCAGGTAAGATTTGTGCTCATTATGTTTATATTTATCTAGTATTTTTACATTTTTGTTGATTTTTTTTTTTCTTAAGATTGGAAAACAATGTTTAGGTATATAATGTTTTCAGCATTTTTTCCTTTTTTATGAAGACCAGAAATCATTCGAAGTATGTCTTTCTATTGTGTTGTTGTAGTTTAAATTGTAATATGTCGATTGTGTACAGTAATTTAGTTTCTGGGTTTGTGGGATTCATCCCGAATTATTGGTTTTTTGGTGTCATTCTCTTGTTTTACATCTTGCATGTTTGGTTCAATCTTGTTGTTTTATGTTTTATCCAAAATATTGTGCAGAAATTACTCACGAGCACATCAGTTGTATGCTCAAACTATTGATATTGTAGTTGTTCAGTTGTCTTCAAATTATTGTCAGAATACCTTAATCTGTAGAGACAAGAGTTATAATAAATTGCTTTTTTATGTTATGTAGATTAAACATCAGTTGTAATTAAACATAACATAAACCTATTATACTTTGGAAAATTGAGGACAATTGTTCTGGTACATCTTTTCGTGTGCTGATATTATGTATTCATGTGATCCTTTGTGATTTCACTATTTTGTGTATATGAATAACACTATAATATTACATTATAGTAAACACTAGCTCGTTCTTAGTTGTCAATTATAACATGTTATTTTTGTATGCTATGATTTTCTCAATGCAGGTAAACGTGCTGTGGATACCGGCATACTAGAGATACCGCTTATTGCTTGGAAAGGTATGCGTTGTTATGTTATGGCGTTACATTACTTTCTATGATATTTAGTTTGTATGTAACGCGTGTCCCCGCTTCTAATGATTGATACTATTTGCTAGCAACACGACGTCGTACAAGCTCTCCTTTAATGCAATAGACTAATACACACGTTACGGCTGACGGTATTGAAGAAGGTTAACAGTTGCACCTTATTTATTCTCGTATGTGTCGGTCCATGTGTTGTGAGCAGACGTTAATCTTATTAGATTGTTCATGTTCACGACACATTTTATACATGGTTGTAGTAAATATTCATCACGATTTTTTTTTCCTATGAATAACTAGTTGCTTTATTATTCAGATGCATCTCGTACGATTCCAGTGAATACGACTGAACCAGATCGTGTCCATGCGAAGCGTGCAAAAGTGTGTGAACGTACATCAATCCAGCCTAACAGCGACGACTCTGTGGACGATTGCCCTCGTCCGTGTGTGGCTAAAAATACACATACACGTGATGGTATATACAACCATGTGTTGTCGTTTTTTCAAATAATCCTTTTTCATGATCAAAATGTGTTTAAATAAATAAATAAATAAACAAATAATATAAGATAATATAAAGTGGGTAATTTAAGTTGTATTCTATGTTTATAGTACTGTAATATAACAGCATTTTAAAATGGTCTGTACGACTTCTGTGTATCGTCTATGCTAATTGTTGAACATGACCTTTTATATGAATAAACCTTGAGAATTTCTTTATTTTTTCTGTTATTTTTCTCT